GAGAGAGAGAGGTGGGAAACGAACACACTGAAAGAGAGCCCATAAAAGAGCCTAACAGAGACAGACAGCAATGACCAATTAACAGAAACACAGACAGACAACACAACAGACAGACAGACATGACAAGAAGAGAGCGACAGGGAAGGTAGGGGGGGGGAAAGAAGGAAGGGGGGTATAAAAAGATGTTAATGGAAGAGGAGGCGAAACAGAGGAGGTGATAAAGGTAAGGAATGGGTCCTTCCTTCACGGCGTGGCGAGAGGCGCCTTAACCTGCGTCTTGACGGCCAGGAGGACGGCCAGGAGGACGGCCAGGAGGACGGGTTGAAGGACGGGTTGGAGGACGGCCAGGAGGACGGCAGGAGGACGGCCAGGAGGACGGCCAGGAGGAAGGCCAGGAGGACGGGCTGGAGGACGGCCAGGAGGACGGCCAGGAGGACGGGCTGGAGGACGGCCAGGAGGACGGGCTGCAGGACGGCCAGGAGGACGGGCTGGAGGACGGCCAGGAGGACGGCCAGGAGGACGGCCAGGAGGACTGGGAGGACGGCCAGGAGGACGGCCAGGAGGACGGCCAGGAGGACGGCCAGGAGGACGGGTTGGAGGACGGGTTGGAGGACGGCCAGGAGGACGGCCAGGAGGAAGGCCAGGAGGACGGGCTGGAGGACGGCCAGGAGGACGGCCAGGAGGACGGGCTGGAGGACGGCCAGGAGGACGGCCAGGAGGACGGGCTGGAGAACGGCCAGGAGGACGGGCTGGAGGACGGCCAGGAGGACGGCCAGGAGGACGGGCTGGAGGACGGCCAGGAGGACGGCCAGGAGGACGGGCTGGAGGACGGCCAGGAGGACGGCCAGGAGGACGGCCAGGAGGACGGGCTGGAGGACGGCCAGGAGGACGGGCTGGAGGACGGCCAGGAGGACGGGCTGGAGGACGGCCAGGAGGACGGGCTGGAGGACGGCCAGGAGGACGGGCTGGAGGACGGCCAGGAGGACGGCCAGGAGGACGGCCAGGAGGACGGCCAGGAGGACGGGCTGGAGGACGGCCAGGAGGACGGGCTGGAGGACGGCCAGGAGGACGGGCAGGAGGACGGCCAGGAGGACGGGCTGGAGGACGGGCTGGAGGACGGCCAGGAGGACGGGCTGGAGGACGGCCAGGAGGACGGGCTGGAGGACGGCCAGGAGGACGGGTTGGGAGGACGGCCAGGAGGACGGGCTGGAGGACGGCCAGGAGGACGGCCAGGAGGACGGCCAGGAGGACGGCAGGAGGACGGGCAGGAGGACGGCCAGGAGGACGGGCAGGAGGACGGCCAGGAGGACGGGCTGGAGGACGGGCTGGAGGACGGCCAGGAGGACGGGCTGGAGGACGGGCTGGAGGACGGCCAGGAGGACGGCCAGGAGGACGGCCAGGAGGACGGGCTGGAAGACGGGTTGGAGGACGGCCAGGAGGACGGGCAGGAGGACGGCCAGGAGGACGGTCAGGAGGACGGCCAGAAGGACGGCAGGGAGGACGGCCAGGAGGACGGCCAGGAGGACGGCAGGGAGGACGGCAGGGTGGACGGCCAGGAGGACGGCCAGGAGGACGGGCAGGAGGACGGGCTGGAAGGACGGGTTGGAGGACGGCCAGGAGGACGGTCAGGAGGACGGCCAGGAGGACGGCCAGGAGGACGGCAGGGAGGACGGCCAGGAGGACGGGCAGGAGGACGGCCAGGAGGACGGCCAGGAGGACGGCCAGGAGGACGGGCTGGAAGACGGGTTGGAGGACGGCCAGGAGGACGGCCAGGAGGACGGCCAGGAGGACGGCAGGGAGGACGGCCAGGAGGACGGCCAGGAGGACGGCCAGGAGGACGGCCAGGAGGACGGCCAGGAGTACGGCCAGGAGGACGGCCAGGAGGACGGCAGGGAGGACGGCCAGGAGGACGGCCAGGAGGACGGCCAGGAGGACGGCCAGGCCGGAGGACGGCAGGGAGGACGGCCAGGAGGACGGACAGGAGGACGGAGGGAGGGAGGACGGCCAGGAGGACGGCCAGGAGGACGGCCAGGAGGGACGGCAGGGAGGACGGGCTGGAAGATGGGCAGGAGGACGGGCAGGAGGACGGCCAGGAGGACGGCCAGGAGGACGGGATGGAGGACGGGCAGGATGACGGGCTGGTGGACGGGCAGGAGGACGGGATGGAGGACGGGCAGGAGGACGGGCAGGAGGACGGGCAGGAGGACGGCCAGGAGGACGGGATGGAGGACGGCCAGGAGGACGGTTTGGAGGACGGCCAGGAGGACGGGCAGGAGGACGGGTTGGAGGACGGGCAGGTGGACGGGCTGGTGGACGGGCAGGAGGACGGGCAGGAGGACGGCCAGGAGGACGGGCTGGTGGACGGGCAGGAGGACGGGCAGGAGGACGGGCTGGTGGACGGGATGGAGGACGGGTTGGAGGACGGGCAGGAGGACGGGCAGGAGGACGGGATGGAGGACGGGATGGAGGACGGGCAGGAGGACGGGCAGGAGGACGGCCAGGAGGACGGGTTGGAGAACGGCCAGGAGGACGGGATGGAGGACGGGATGGAGGACGGGCAGGAGGACGGGATGGAGGACGGGCAGGAGGACGGGCTGGTGGACGGGCAGGAGGACGGCCAGGAAGACGGCCAGGAGGACGGCCAGGAGGACGGGTTGGAGGACGGGCAGGAGGACGGGATGGAGGACGGGTTGGAGGACGGGCAGGAGGACGGGCTGGTGGACGGGCAGGTGGACGGCCAGGAGGACGGCCAGGAGGACGGGATGGAGGACGGGCTGGTGGACGGGCAGGAGGACGGCCAGGAGGACGGGATGGAGGACGGGCAGGAGGACGGGCTGGTGGACGGGCAGGAGGACGGGCTGGAGGACGGCCAGGAGGACGGGATGGAGGACGGGATGGAGGACGGGATGGGGCTGGAGGACGGGCAGGAGGACGGGCAGGAGGAGGCCAGGAGGACGGGCTGGAGGACGGGATGGAGGACGGGCTGGAGGACGGCCAGGAGGACGGGCAGGAGGACGGGTTGGAGGACGGGTTGGAGGACGGGTTGGAGGACGGGATGGAGGACGGGATGGAGGACGGGTTGGAGGACGGGCAGGAGGACGGGCTGGTGGACGGGCTGGTGGACGGGCAGGAGGACGGCCAGGAGGACGGGATGGAGGACGGGTTGGAGGACGGCCAGGAGGACGGCCAGGAGGACGGGCTGGTGGACGGGCAGGAGGACGGGCAGGAGGACGGGATGGAGGACGGGTTGGAGGACGGGCAGGAGGACGGGCAGGAGGACGGGCTGGAGGACGGGCTGGAGGACGGGATGGAGGACGGCCAGGAGGACGGCCAGGAGGACGGCCAGGAGGACGGGCAGGAGGACGGGCTGGTGGACGGGCAGGAGGACGGGCAGGAGGACGGCCAGGAGGACGGGATGGAGGACGGGTTGGAGGACGGGCAGGAGGACGGGCAGGAGGACGGGCAGGAGGACGGGATGGAGGACGGGATGGAGGACGGGCAGGAGGACGGGCAGGAGGACGGCCAGGAGGACGGGTTGGAGAACGGCCAGGAGGACGGGATGGAGGACGGGCAGGAGGAACGGGATGGAGGACGGGCAGGAGGACGGGCTGGTGGACGGGCAGGAGGACGGCCAGGAAGACGGCCAGGAGGACGGCCAGGAGGACGGGTTGGAGGACGGCCAGGAGGACGGGATGGAGGACGGGTTGGAGGACGGGCAGGAGGACGGGCTGGAGGACGGGCTGGTGGACGGGCAGGTGGACGGCCAGGAGGACGGCCAGGAGGACGGGATGGAGGACGGGCTGGTGGACGGGCAGGAGGACGGCCAGGAGGACGGGATGGAGGACGGGCAGGAGGACGGGCTGGTGGACGGGCAGGAGGACGGCCAGGAGGACGGGTTGGAGGACGGCCAGGAGGACGGGATGGAGGACGGGATGGAGGACGGGCTGGAGGACGGGCAGGAGGACGGCCAGGAGGACGGGATGGCGGACGGGTGGAGGACGGGTTGGAGGACGGGATGGAGGACGGGATGGAGGACGGGTTGGAGGACGGGCAGGAGGACGGGATGGTGGACGGTGGGGGACGGGCAGGAGGACGGCCAGGAGGGACGGGATGGAGGACGGGTTGGAGGACGGCCAGGAGGACGGCCAGGAGGACGGGCTGGGGGACGGGCAGGAGGACGGGGCAGGAGGACGGGATGGAGGACGGGTTGGAGGACGGGCAGGAGGACGGGCAGGAGGACGGGCTGGAGGACGGGCGGAGGACGGGAGGGAGGACGGCCAGGAGGACGGCCGCGGGCAGGAGGACGGGCTGGTGGCGGGCAGGAGGACGGGCAGGAGGACGGGCAGGAGGACGGCCAGGAGGACGGGATGGAGGACGGGTTGGAGGACGGGCAGGAGGACGGGCAGGAGGACGGGCTGGAGGACGGGCAGGAGGACGGGCAGGAGGACGGCCAGGAGGACGGGCTGGAGGACGGGATGGAGGACGGGATGGAGGACGGGCAGGAGGACGGCCAGGAGGACGGCCAGGAGGACGGGCAGATGGACGGGCAGGTGGACGGCCAGGAGGACGGCCAGGAGGACGGGATAGACGACGGCCAGGAGGACGGGCAGGAGGACGGGCAGGAGGACGGGCAGGAGGACGGGCTGGTGGACGGGCATGGAGGGACGGGCAGGAGGACGGGCAGGAGGACGGGCTGGAGGACGGCCAGGAGGACGGGCAGGAGGACGGGTTGGAGGACGGGCTGGTGGACGGGCTGGTGGACGGGCAGGAGGACGGGCTGGAGGACGGCCAGGAGGACGGGCTGGTGGACGGGCTGGTGGACGGGCTGGTGGACGGGCAGGAGGACGGGCTGGAGGACGGCCAGGAGGACGGGCTGGTGGACGGGCTGGTGGAAGGAGGACGGGCTGGAGGACGGCCAGAACGGGCTGGAGGACGGGCAGGAGGACGGGCAGGAGGACGGGTTGGAGGACGAGCTGGTGGACGGGCTGGTGGACGGGCAGGAGGACGACCAGAAGGACGACCAGAAGCACGACCAGAAGCACGACCAGAAGCACGACCAGAAGCACGACCAGAAGCACGACCAGAAGCACGACCAGAAGGACGACCAGAAGCACGACCAGAAGCACGACCAGAAGCACGACCAGAAGGACGACCAGAAGGACGACCAGAAGCACGACCAGAAGCACGACCAGAAGCACGACCAGAAGGACGACCAGAAGCACGACCAGAAGGACGACCAGAAGCACGACCAGAAGCACGACCAGAAGGACGACCAGAAGGCGACCAGAAGCACGACCAGAAGCACGACCAGAAGCACGACCAGAAGGACGACCAGAAGCACGACCAGAAGCACGACCAGAAGCACGACCAGAAGCACGACCAGAAGCACGACCAGAAGGACGACCAGAAGGACGACCAGAAGCACGACCAGAAGCACGACCAGAAGGACGACCAGAAGCACGACCAGAAGGACGACCAGAAGCACGACCAGAAGCAGAAGACCAGAAGCACGACCAGAAGACCAGAAGCACGACCAGAAGCACGACCAGGAGGCGTAAAGAGACAAGTTAAAAAAAAAGTTAAACAAACATACAAACAAGGAAACCAATAAAGATCGAGAGAAGCAGCCAGCCAGGCCCCTAAAAAGCAAGACAGACAGACAGCCAGCCAGCCAGCCAGCCAGCCAGCCAGCCCACCAACCCGTCCTCTTAAAAAGAACGTCACTTTTGGCTGGTATGCGCACTATGGCCAAATTGGGACGTAATTTGAAATGCAATCCACTCCAAAAGTGAAGTTCTGTTCCGTTTTCTATTGAGTCGTCCGGCGTACGCGCAGAGGTTATAAGAGGACACTTTAAATTACGTTTTTCATAACGTTTTGAAAATTTATGAGAATTTCCTGCCCACCTAACCTATCAGAGGACCCTTAACTTACTGTTGTTGAAAAAAAAAATCCCAAATTTATTTTCATATTTTTTTCAATTTCAAATTACGTCCAAATTCGGCCATACGGGCAAACGGCCAAAAGCGACGTTCTTTTTAAGAGGACAGGTTGGCCAGACAGCCAGCCAGCCAGCCAGCCAGACAGCTAGCCAGACAGCCAGCCAGCCAGCCAGCCAGCCAGCCAGCCAGCCAGACACACAGACAGACAGACTCACTAAGCCAAGTACACTAAAAAAAACAAGTGAAATTTTACCCAAGCCTTAAACCCTTCTCGTCCCTCCCTCCCTCCCTTAACGCCACCGAATTAAGGGAAGGACACAAAGGGAGAAAGGAGAGATGGAAGATAGGGAAAAGAGGAGAGAGAGAGAGAGAGGAAAGGGGAGGGAGAGGGGGACAGGGGAGGAAGAGACAGTGGCCCTGTCCACCAAAGGGGAACGTTGTCAAAACTGAAGCCATCCCGAAATGGTTTAAAAGATTTCCAGAACTCGGCCACACGAGACAGTAGAGCAGAGGTAGAGCAGAGGTAGAGCAGAGGGAGAGCAGAGGTAGAGCAGAGGTAGAGCAGAGAGAGCAGAGGGAGAGCAGAGGGAAAA